TTTTAGAGATCACTTAATAAAAAAGACCTCACAGAGGGATGCATAGAAATGACAGGGCATAAAAACAAATGTATGTATGTATATGTATGACTGAAACATATGCTGTACACCAGAAACTGCTGACTATACTTCAATTAAAAATATGAAAAAAAAAAGAAACGTCAGGGCAGTTCATGGAAGAAACTCTATTGACAAAAACACCCGAAGATTTTTTTACCTTCTTCCTCAAATAGTAAAATAAATGCAAATTAAGTGATTACTGAGAGTAGTTTTTCTCTTATCAGTTTGACAAAATATTAAAGAGACAGTAATTGATTCATTACTCAGTGCATCCATGCAACAGAATAATAAACAGTTATGAAAGACATCTTTTGGAAAACATTTTCAGGATGCAGGGAAACCCAATATTAAATTTTCAGAAATTAGAAAAACGGTTCATAAAATATACATGTGAGAGAAAAATACTGGAAAGAAATTTGCCAAAAATTTTTACAGTAGCTACCTCTGTGTACTTAAATTTTCTTCTTTAAATTCTCTATCTTGAGAATTTTATCCAGTGAGCATGTGTTACTTTAAACATTGGGGGAAAAAAAAGACTTCCCTTAAAATAATTTAAAAATTGACTTGAAAAACAAATCCTAGTATAACTTACCCATTGGGCAACTATAAATATTGCTTAAAGGAGCTAAGAATAAACGCCCTCAGTTGTGGGAGTGTACACGGACGGCAGCTTCTAGTGATTTTTAAGTGGCCACTGTGTCCTGTTGGAATGTATCCTAAGGACTGATCATGATTCATGTTTCAAAAGACAATATTTGCTTTTCATTTGTCTTTGATTTAAAAAAGCAAGGAAAAGGGTTCCATCAAAGTCTATCAGATAAATGTAATCCAATTATGAAAAGAAATCCGCCCTCGACCTTCCACTACTTCAAAAAGAGGCGTTCTGTCCCTGTGAATGATACGCGGCAACCCCCTGGGAGCTGCTCTGACCCGGCCTCCAGCCTGGCCGGTCAGCAAGGCCAGGATGGAATGTTTCCAAGGGGACCGGCCGGGCCTTCAGAGGAAGCCCACGGCGAGCGGAGGGGCACTTCCCAGGGTGCCACCAGGGCCTGCGGGAGTCTCCCATGACCCTGCCGGCACCTCAGATGGGGGACAACTCCCAGTCGCTGCCAGCCTCACGGCACCTTACTTTTTCATCAGAAGAGAGTTTCCAAGAGGGTGCTCTTTTTGCATTGTATTAACCACTTTTTAAAAAGTAGGGTGTTTCAAAATGTTAAATGTTTATTTTGGATTAGCCCAAATTAATTGCTTGTCTTTCTTTCTCTTCTAATATATTTTTAACTAGGCTTTTTATTATTAAAAATAATATCTTGAAAAAAGACTTCTAACTGTACAGAAGAGTATAAAACAAGAAATAACATCACTGCTCTTGTCCCCAGAGGTGGCCATGCCAACAAGTGTCTAGTGTGTCCTTCCGGAAACTTCCACGCACATATCAACATACACTTGATAAGTTAAATGCATGTGTGAATATATCTATGTGTCTATGTATGTGTATATATGTACATTTTATATATTTTAGCTGATTTGGCGTTTATAACTGAACACAGTTGTTTTCAACTTGGTTATGTCACCTAACCACACACTGGATTTTAGAAGTCTATGTAAAAGCAAAAAATTATTTTATTTGTAGAAAAGGCATTTATGGGCATCTATTCGCTGAAGCCCTGAGAAAAAGGAAGAAAGTTGCTGATAAGGAAAGTTCACAAGCACAGGGCGCACCATCCTCGTTAAACTAGAAAACGAAGTTCTCTGCTAGGAGCCAGGGGTTTACAGGAGACTCAGTTCTTTAGAAACAGTGCTTTCCTCCCTGAGGCCCCAGGGCTGGGCAACCTCAGCCCAGGTATATTCTCTCCAGACACCGTCATGTAATTGGATACGGATGGAAAAGTGTAGTCCTGTTGGCTTGCACCATCCGCTGCCGAGACGGGCCGTCTGCCCCACACTTCCCGTCCCACCCCGGGCGCGGTCCTCCGGGCTTGCTGTTTACTTGCTCATGTGAATGAGCAGATGGGTACTATCCTAGACGGTGGGGACAGGAATGGTCGGCATATAGGGGTCTACGTGCTCTCATGTCTTAACAACCCCGCAGAATAGGTTTGAGCCTTGTCCTCAGGTCACATATGAGGAGACTGGCGGCACAGAGAAGTTAAGTGACTTGCCCAAGGCTGCACAGTTATTTCTCTGGAAGCAAGGCTCCAGTTTGTGTTATTATGCAGACTGCCTGGAGGAGGAGCCAGGAAGGTGCTGGCAGAGCTCAAGGAGGAGGCAGAGAGGAATGGCAGGGAAGCACTCAGGGAGGGTTTCATAAAGAGACTGGATTTCAACAAGTTGCTAAACCAGCATCTTAGCAACGGTGGGCTCAAAAAAGAGAGGCTTGAAGTGTGGGTGCCGAGGGACTGAGGGCATGTGGCAGAAACCATGGGCTGCAGAAAGAAGTCCCCAAAGACCAGGTGGGAAGGTCTTTCCTTGTGGGCCAGGCAGCTACCCCATGCGTCCGCAGAAACCAGCCAGGGTGCCGATGACAACACGTGCCCAGACACTGTCCCTCGGCCCAGCCCCCAGCCGGTGGTTCGTAACTTCCCTCTGTAGTCAGATGCCCCGAGGGGCAGAAATTGGGGCAATGTTCATGATGGGGAGGCATCTGAATTGACTCCAAACATACTCAAAATAGACAGGTGACCTTAAAGAGACTATTTTAAACCAGAAGAGATTGTTACCTACAATGGGCAAATTTAAGTTTTTCATAAACTGTGAGCAGGAGTTGGGGGTGGGAGGGTTTGAGAACAAGGCTAGTGACTGAAATACTGCATTCTGGTATCTGGATAACAGAAAAACATGCTATTTTTAAAAACTAAAACACTAAAATCTTTGCTCATAGAATAGCCTCACTTTGATATATTTCTAACAGCTTTATGGATTATAATTAGTATATAATAAACTTCATATTTAAGTATCCAACTGGGTAAGTCTGCTATCTCCATGAAGCCGTCACCAGAATGGAAAGTGAGGAGGGAAACTGAGAAAGAGAAGAGGGGATGTACGCGCGTGTGTGTGTGTATATGTATATAACATATTCCTCCCTATTCACATCTTTTCTCTATTATTATTGGTTATCAGTACAGAATTAATACAATGTCAAATTTTTCACTTTAAAATATCCCCGCTTTGCTATAAAATATCCCTGATAAATACGATATAAAAAGAAAAACTCACAAGTAATCAATTTTGAATTAAAAAATCATTTTTAAAAATTGTATTTATGTAATAAAGGACAGAACTCCTCAATCAAAAGCATGTAACTAATATATCAAACATTCATGAAACAACTTTGTTACAAACTTCAAGTATTACTGAGGAAACTGCACGTTAGAATCCCACACAAAGTAAACGCAAGAGAAGTTTACGATCGTTCAGGTTTTTCTCAATCATCATACACGTAACTGATGTGAATTACACATCCGTTGCTGCACAAGTCACCCCGACACTTAGAGACTGAAACAACCCACGCTGGTTATGTCACTGGTTCTGTGGGTGGGGAACCAGCTGTGGCTTGGCTGGGCACCTGTGCCTCGGGTCCCCCTGGAGGCTGCAGTCAAAGTGTTGGCCGGGGCTGCAGCCTCATGTGAAAGCTCATCTGGGGGAGAATCCCTTTGAGCTCAGGCATGTGGGTGCGGACAGGTTTAGTTCTTTGCAGGCTGCTGCCCTAGGTTCCCCGGTGGCTGTTGCCAGGAACCTCCCTCGATTCCTTCCACATGGGCCTCTCCACTGGGCAGCTCACAACAGGACAGCTGACCTCACTCCAAGCCAGAGGGAGGAGGCAAGTGAGGGGGTGAGAGGCAGGCCAGATCCAGGGACACCTCATCACTTTTGCTGTATTCTTTTCTGTCGAAGTGAAGTTCTAGGTCCACGTCACACTCATGGGGAGGGCATTACCAGAGGAAGAGAGACCTCTGGTGGGTGGAGGCCACCTGGGAGGCTGCCCACCGCAGACATAAACATCTTTCAATGTAATTGTTTGAGAGGAAGTTTGATTTTTTATTGCCAACAAGTTAAATTCTCTGGTCCTGATGAGCTACCAAAGTTGAGGTCTGAGCATCACTGAGCCTAACGTGATGCAGCACAGTGCCCAGCGAAGAAGACAGATAGCAGCTGCTTCCACGGCCCTGGGACTGACTACAACAACCTTCCCCCTTTCTTTCCTCTCCTGAAATAGGTTTGAAGCTGTTCTGATTGGGTCACCTGCAGAGCGTCTGCTGTGCCGGGTGGGAAGCCATGCGGGAAGCCGTGCTGTGTCCCACGGGCGTCTGTTCTGCCGCACTTCTCTCATAAAGGACACCTTCCCCAAACCGTCTTTTGTAAGCAAACTTGAAATTGCTTAACCTTTCACTTAAGGACATTAAAGAAGGCCCTTAATACAGGAAGGCCTCACTGTACATGATGCCTTGTTCCCACAACTGCTACCCTCCCGCCACTTCAGGGTGGCGGGGGGCCGGGTGCCAGGTCCCGCAGCCAGCAGCTGCCTCGGGGGACTGCGTCAGAGACAGACGGTGACTTAGACTCGGGAGCTTGTACCGCTGGGGCCAGACCCCAGAAGGGAGGCGCGTGGCCTGCATGTAGCTGGGTCCCTTAGTTTTCAGACAGACCTGACCTATGAAGTCCTCCCATCTAGGGGCTGAGTCACCCACCCACGGTGTTCAAGTTCACGTGGCTGGAGAGGTATTACATGGGCTGCACTAAAAAAACAGGACAGAGAGCAATTTTCATTAAAAAAAGAATTAGTTCTTGAATTTTTTAAACTTGACATTCCACTTCCTTAAAATAAAGCCAGAAAACCACATGAATCTCTACCAGCACATTTCTGTGCTTAAAAACATACAAGGACATCGACTGTTACAGCAGACACTGTCGCGAGATACGGCAACGCCGCTCACACGCACCTGCATTCGATGAACCAGCGCCGGATCTGATCCTGAAGGTTCTCCTTGATGTCTGGACCTTCTGTTAGTTTCAGGTCATCCTTGATTGTAACCAGGGCACCTCTGTAGTCCTCTTCATGCTTCATCTGCACCTTATCCCGCATGTAGGTCACCTTTTCAGCCTCGATCATGGTAGCACTGACTTCATTAAACAAAGGAGGTGGATTCTAAAAACAGAAACAAAAAGATTTGAGACCATACAGGTTACAGAGATGGTGAAACATATTAGACGCTAATGAAATATGTTAATATCTTCAATGGTGTCTTACCAAAGGCCCGTAAAGAAATACGTACCGAACAAATGGATCAGATCTGGCAAGAGAACTTTCAGAGTGATTCCCCACCATGGGGAAACAGGTTGGGGTACCATTTCCCAGAACCTGGTGGTGATGGGGTAGTTAGCTTGAAAAATGCATATACATCATTGAAAAATCATGCAAGGGGGAGGGTATAGCTCAGTGGCAGAATGTGTGCTTAGCATGTAGGAGGTCCTGGATTCAATTCCCAGTATAGAAAGAAAGAAAGAGAGAGAGAGAAAAAGAGGAAGAAAGGAAGAAAGAAGAAAGGAAAGGAAAGAAGGAAGGAAAGAAGGAACCCAGTTACCACCCACCTCCATAAAAAATGATTTTAAAAAATCATTCGAGTTACAGACAGTAAAGCTTTTCCAAGTCTTCTTGGTGAGTGGAAGAGCAAAGACTACAAACTAAGAAAGTACATGAAGCAAGAACTAATGACAAGAGTTTGGATGTTCTGATTTCAAGAAAAATGACACCAAAATCAACTCTGAAAACATCCCCTCTCTCGTTAAAGATCTCCAGAGAAGGAAATTCTCAGCTGACTTCAGACATTCACCCTCACATCTCATTGTGAGAATGTTCTCCCCCGCCGTCTGCTGATGGGCGAGGCAGACAACTGCAGAACAGCAACCAGATGCTCGGCGCTGGTCCACTGTCTGCAGAGGGTTGTGGGAACAGAAAGTACAAAGTCACTTTGAGACCTGATTCCTAAATAAATGAGGGTGGTGGGATGAGGGCAATGTACCTCACAGTAGGGAACGGTGTCAGCTCACCTATAAACAGTGCTGCCTGTGGGTTTGGGTGGAAAGAACTAAAAGGCACCCGGAGAAGGGAAACACGCATGGGGCCTGTGGTGGCGGGAATCACAGGGAGGAGACACAGATCCCGAGCTCTCGGGAGTTTACAGATTCAGCCCGGGTCACTGAGCAAATTAAGTACGAATCTAGGGTGTACTGGAGCCAGGCTGTAATGACTCATGAGATCCAACTGATAGATTTTTCAGGAATTTTGCAAGTTATTTTTAAATGCTGAATTATATAAACTTAAGATTATGTATATTATGGTAACAACAGGAAGTTATCTCAATACTAAAAACTCATGGTTTCATAATTATTTTTTACTGGATTTTATTGTCACCTATGCTCTTGATGTTAGTGTGTCTGTTGGCTCTCTATGGTGAAAACACTGTGTAATGCTGTCTCCTGTGTGTATCTCCCTAACTACGTTCAGCCAGGTTATTAGCTTGAAGTTGGCCATGATGAGAACATTTACACCATCGGAATTAGCAATGCTATAAACGAGGCCTTGATTTACTATTGTGATTCGATTGTGTAGACTTAAGAACGTGGTAGAGAAAACTGTAATGCAGATCAACAGTGCACAGTGTCTGTGTCAGTGACATCGTGAAGAGGGCATAAAATTGAGGATTCAGCTTCAAAAACCATAACCTGATTCAGCAAAGGAGTCCCCAACTCCGAAAAAAAAGATGAGTGAGTGATGTTCTGGTGCACATTTTGCTGTTGCACTTTCATCTTCCTCATTAATGCAACAAAAATATCAATCAACATTCACACTGCAATGACATCTGTCATTTGCAACCAGAGGCTGACAACAGATACAGAGTTCAGTAAACATCAAGGGAAGTGTTCTGTGACAATCCATGGCTACATGGAATGTCCAACAAAGGGTAGTGTGTATTTTACTGCTATTTGTAAATTGTGTGTACATATCCTCATATCAATGAAATGACAATAAACATGTATGAATATATACACGTACATTTCTTTTCCAAGAGCCATGGTTAAGCATTACCAGCACATCACTGGGTAATTCCAAGACCAGAACCCAGTTTTCTGCAACTCTTTGGTTATCTGTCTCCTACCCATTGCCCACCTTCTGTGGATCTTCTTTCCCAAAGATGCTATATGGTATGGAATAGTTAAAGAGCCCTTAGAATCTCAGGCAAAGTTAACTAACCTCAGAAGATTTTTGTTATGCACCCCAGTGTTCATAGCAGCACTATTCACAACAGCCAAGATGTGGAAGGAACCTAAATGTCCATCAACAGATGACTGGATAAAGAAGATGTGGTATATTTACACAATGGAATACTACTCAGCCATAAAAAGAAATAATGCCATTTGCAGCAATGTGGATGGACCTGGAGATTATCATACTAAGTGAAGTAAGTCAGACAAAGACAAATATCATATGGTATCACTTATATGTGGAATCTAAAAAAGCTACAAATTTTATTTACAAACCAGAAATAGACTCACAGATGCAGAAAACAAATTGATGGTTACTAAAGGGGAAAGTTGGGGGGAAGGATGAATTAGGAGTCTGGGATTAGCAGATACACACTACTATATACAAAATAAACAACAAGGTCCTACTTAGAGAACAGGGCACTATATTCAATAGCTTGTAATAACCTATAATGATAAGAAATATGAAGAAGAATATATGTATGTGTCTGTGTGATTAAAACATTGTGCTGGACACCAGACACTGACACACTATGACTGACTATACTTCAATAAAAATAATATTTTCAAATGCATAAAGATAAAATATATAGATCTACGAGGGAAATCAATTCTATTGACACACAGCTCTATTGGTAACGGTTAGATTGGGGTTGCGGGTAATTGAGAGAAAGAGCACAGAGGTGAAGTGTCGCCATCATCCCATCCTATCTAGGGTACCATCAGCATGATTTAGGACTCACGCTGTTCACCTGGGTCACCTGGCTGGGGTAGTACCTGTCAGGTGTCCCTCTGCAAGATGCCTCTCTCCACCTCCCACTTCACTCCATCCCCTTTGGGAGGAAGTCACTAGGTACAGCTTCCCAGTTAAGGAGCGGAACACTAAGGCCCCCTCAGACCTTGAGGGTGGAGTTTCCAAAATGATTTGGGATTATTCTGCATGGAAGATTTATCTCTCCTCCCACATTGGTTAATTTATTCAATCTTTCATTTATATCACTATGGACTCGTGGATATTTATTTTATACTTGGGCTATAATCAAGTACTACTTTATTGTTTTGTTGTTCAAATGATCCCAGTTTTGATCATTGGGAGGTTTTATGTTCGTTCCTTTCAGTGTCACATTGAGAAACCTCCATCACTGTGTATGTGTGATTTTAAAAAATATGTTTATTTTACATATACATAATTTTAAAATCTCAAATAATTGTCCACTCAACTGTCTGACACCCCAAATCCAAGAACACAACAATGAGGAAAGATTAGTCCCTTCAACAAATGGTGTTGGGAAAACTGAATACACACACGCAGAAGACTGAAACTGGACCCTTACCTCACACCATACACACATCAACTAGGAACGGATTAAAGACTTAGACACAAGACATGCAGTCAGAAAACAGCTAAAAATTTAAGGAAAAGATTTCCTGACATTCATCTTAACAATTTTTCGGATATGACACCAAAAGCACGGGCAACAAAAACAAAAAGAGACACACGGGATTATACCAAACTAAAAAGCTTCTTGCATAGCCAAGGACACATTCTGCAGGATGAGGAAGCAGCCTACAGAATGGGAGAAAACATTACAAACCGTGTAGCTGATAAGGGCTTAATATAAAAAATGTATAAAGAATTTATATGACTTAAAAACAACCCACTTAAAAAATGGGCAGAGGAACTAATAGACATTTTTTTGCCAAATAAAACATACAAATGGCCAACAGGTATGTAAGTGTGTCAGCCTCACTAATCACCAGGAAATGCAAGCTGAAACCACCATAAGCTATCACCTCACATCTGTCAGAATGGCGACTGTCAAGTGCAGAAAAGATGACAAATGATGCTGAGGATGTGGAGAAACTGAAACCCTTGTACGCTGTCGGTGGGAACTTGAGTCCCCCAAAAAAAACAGAACTGCCATATAACCCAGCAATCCAATGGGTATATGTCCAAAGGAAATGAAATCAATATCTTGAAGAGATATCTGCACCCCACGCTCACGGCAGCACTGTTCACAACAGCCGAGACACGAATGCTACTTAAAGCCGGGGCCTCTGCAGACCTGAAAATCCGCATCCTTTTGTTACAAGGACTTTTGTTTTTGGTTACTGTTTCTTTACACACACACAACCCCCAAGAAATATCTATGAACCCCTAAAAGTGACTTCTCTACTTGGATCCACAACTGAGATGCTTTTGGACTATAGCTACCACTTAATGACATAAAGTCAACTGAAAGAAAAGATGAAAAGAAAATCACACTTACAGTACTTGGTGAAAACATGCATTAGAACGTCTAACGAAACAAGCCAATTGTCCAAGTTTAATATAATGAGAACATACAACCTCATAAAACCCCTAAAGCTACTTTAAAAGTGAATAGAGACTGAGAATTACAGAATCATTTTAAAGCATGTTAAAAACCAGTGATCGAAATTGCCTCCATACACAAGTGCTCAAAGCCATGACTTTACAGTATCTGTTTTGTATCAAAATAAAGAGATAATAATTCCCATTATTTAATCAGTTAAAGAAGTGCCCAATTCTTATATCTTCCAGGTGATGTTTTTCATTCCTAGTGTCATGAAACAGGCGTTTATAATTCACATGGAGACTTTATCTGATCTCTCCAACGACTACTTCAAAGTCCATGGTGTTCATGAAGATGCTGAAACGGATCTCGGCTACAGAGGACCCAAGTCTCTTTGTCTCTGATGACTGTGTAACATTGTGTCGAAGTCTTGCCTGAATGCTACGATTCTGATGTCGCTCTCCCCACCAGTACCTTGCTCTTACGGTAAATCGCAGCAGATTTTTTTCAGAGATTCACACACATGACGTTTCTGCTGGGCCTTTTCCCTGTGAGCTCCTACAAGTGA